CTCTCTCTCTCTCTCTCTCTCTCTCTCTCTCTCTCTCTCTCTCTCCCAAAAATAAATTTAAAAAATTAAAAAATAAAAATAGCAAGTATGTCCTGCTATTTCCGTATAACATTCCATTGGTTGAATTAGAGCTATTTTATTTTTTAAAGTTTATTTTGAGAGAGACAGAAAGCACGAACAGAAGAGGGGCAGAGAGAGAGGGGGAGAGAGAGAATCCCAAGTAGGTTCCATGTGGTCAGTGCACAGAGTCTGATGCGGGGCTCGAATTCACAAACTGAGATCATGACCTGAGCCAAAGTCAGACACTTAACTTACTGAGCCACCCAGGTGCCCCAAATTAGAGCTATTTAAAAACATTAACTTGGAGAAACAGTGATCTTTACTTTCACTTTTCCCAATCAACTGATTCATTTCTTCCACTATTGCTTTAGGACTTAATTTTCTTTCATATGAGTAAATCCCTGTCCTGAGTAAAATTAATACCCTTGCATTTAGACTCTGTCAGATGGGTGTCGGGCAATGTTAGCTAGGTGATCTTTCAGGAATTTGGACAGTTGTTTTTCTAAGGCCTTCTTGACAGCCCTGAGATCTTCAATTCTCAGAATTCCAAGTCAACTTAAGTGACTTTTTTAGTTTCGGGGCACACCAGTTTCCCTATTACACAACCATTAATTGTCTTAGAACCCTTATTAGAGGAATAAATACGTTGCGTATTTCCATTCTGTTTTGGTAATAGAGTCAAGTGTAGTGTAACATTTGCCTGAGACTTTCACCTCAAGGCGATCTGCTCAAGGCGATCAGAGTGCCTGGGTGAGTCAGTTGGTTGAGCATCCAATTGACTCAGGTCATGATCTCACGGGTCATGAGTTCAAGCCCCGTGTCGGTCTCCGCACTGGCAGCCTGGAGCCTGCTTTGGAGTCTGTGTCTCCCGCTCTCTCTGCGCCTTCTCCACTCATGCTCTGTGTCTCTCTCAAAAATAGATATTAAGAAAAAAAAATATTTTTAAATTAAGTGCTCGAGGTGAAACTAGGAGTGGAGACCTGGAATATTCTAATGTTGTAAAAAAGTGTCCCTGTCTTTTTAAAAGATTAGTGCTATATTATGCTGCAACTTTCTTTAAAATCCAATGCTAAGAGGGAATTGTTTCAGAATCAGTAGGAGAAATACCCACAGCACCTACACAAGACGCCGCCACGCTACAAAGGCTAACTCAGAGGGGTGAAGGGAGTGTCCCCTGTACTGAGCAGGGCGCGTTTCTTACTAATTCCACATTCAGTCACTAGAGGGCGAAGTACACAGGAGGAAAAAAAAGCCCACGTGGAGCCCCAATTCAATCAGCCCTGGTTAGATGGCACTCAGGTGGTTTGGGGAAGGTACTTAAGAGTCAAGGTCTGCTCTCCCAACAAGGGCAAAATTGACCAATGTTCTCAAATAGGCCCCAGGAACTCCTGCCAGAAGTGGTTTCCAGCCAGCTTGCAAGGCAGCTGTCCCCAAACTAAGCACAATGGGAGGGGAGCAGGGGGTCACAGAGGTGCTGAGCACTTAATGTGTGTGCCTCAAGTTCTATTTTGAGCTTCATAGACATGGACTCATTCACACCTCACAAAAATCCTACAGCAAGAGTCTGCAGGTAACAGAGGGAAGAGACTCATTAATCCAGGGTCACAGAGCTAGAGTGTGAGGAGCTGAGACTCCTAAAACAAGGCTGATCCCAAAGCTTGTGATTTTCTTACTCAGGGTTCCCACTAACCACTTAGGATTTTTTTTTTTAAGTTTATTTATTTGGGGGGGGGGGGGGGGGGCAAAGAACGCCAAATCCCAAGCAGGCTTCGCGCGATCAGCACAGAGCCCAACTAGAGGCTCAATCTCACAAACCGTAAGATATGACCTGAGCCAAAATCGAGTTGGACGCTTAACCGACTGAGCCACCTAAGCACCCTTAACCACTTTTTTAAAGTTTATTTATTTATTTTGAGAGAAAGCAAGAGAGCACAGTAGGGGCAGAGAGAGGGAGAGAGAATCCCAAGCAGACTCTGCATCGCCAGCATGGAGCCCGAGCTAGAGCTCGAACCCACTAGCCTCGAGATCATGACCTGAGCCAGTCGGAAGCTTAACCGATTGAGCCGCCCAGGCGCCCCTCACTTGTGATTTCTATTGAAAGGAAATCTTTGCTTGACCTTTCCAGGGAGTCATCCAACCTAGTGGCATCTTGGGAAAAACTGGACTGGATCTTCTCCCAAGGGTTTCCACCTGCAACCTTCCCCTCCCCCCCCAACCTTTTCTCTACCTACTTACTTCCCTCGTGACCAGACTGCAAGGAAGCAGGACACGTTACTCTGACAGCAGCTGAACTGGACCAGGGAACGGATTAGCACCTGTAAACAGCCAGCAGCTTTTCACAGAATGATCACTCAGTGGGCAAACTGGTTAACTTTGCTGGATTTCTCATGCTTTCACTTTTAAAACAAATTCACACAAATAAAACACCTGGATAAAAAATATAATTACCTGATAACCTTTATTGGAGATGTGAAAGGGACTCTGAAACAGTGCTTTATAAAGCGCATCATACAAGGCCTTCGTTTCCTATGTGTGCGGAGACGCGGCCCCAGTCCCGTACTCCCACTCAGCCACCCTATTTATGAAGATGTCATCCTGGTTGGCCACAAAAAGGTGGTCCCATCTTGGCCGGCTTTATTTTTACGTGGGCACAGTGACTAGAGAAGGCGTTGATACTTCCCAAGCCAGGCGGCCTGCTCAGGTCCCAGATCTTGTCGTCTGCACTATGCTCTCCCCCAAGTGGTCCCAGCTCGTGTTTGATTTACATGCACAAAAACAGTGTGAGCCTCCCACCCACCCCCAGTGTGGGCAGCAAGCAGTCTGCTCCACTTCTGTGGCAATTTCCCACCCTTCCTCTGTGCTCTCAGAATCTTCCAGGGAGGATGAAAACAAACTAAACCAAGACTAGAACGCTAGAAACATACGGATACACCAAAGCAAAACCATGAGGCATGGAGTGCAGGGAGCAAGATGAGAGACAAAGACAAGAGGTTAAACTACGCAGTTACACTGCCCGTTCAGAAAGAGGGTAAGAGACACACTAGATAAAAATAAAACCCATCTAGCTCCCTTCTTCCACAAACTATTTTAATGCAGCAAGCAAAAATACTACATCGTGTAGTAAGCACTGTTAGTATTCAACACTTCAACATTTTATGGTGCATCACATAAAAACAAAGTCATATGCTTTTGCATAAAATCAAA